GCAGAGACCCCGGGCTGGGGGCACCACGGATACCTGCCTCTGCTTCAGCAGCTGCTGTGCTCTTGTTTGCTTTGTTCCCATCCAACATTATCTTCTAAAAGGCTGAACGGGTAGTTTACAGGATGCCTGACAGGTGTTTTTTCCTTATTTATGTCAGGGTCTGGTTTATTTTTAAAGTCTCCGTCCCACCTTATCCTGTGCGCCATGCCGGCTGATGTTATCCGCAGCCACCCCGCAGCAGGAGGCTGAGCAAAGCTGGGGACAGGACGTAGCTCTGCAGCAGAGCAAGGGAGGGCAGGAGGGCTCGTGTGCATGGGGAACTGCTATTTTGATCCCTGCAGCAGCAGGAAATAGCTGCAAGCTAAAACCAGCCGCAGATGCCTCCAGTCGCATCCCAGCCATGACAGTGGGGAGAGCACTGGGGAAGGGGTCAAGAAGCCCAGTAGGGACTATGAGGCCCCATCAGCCGGGCAGGAGCTACTGCTCAGAGAGTTTTCCAGGGGCTTTGGGTGCACTAAATCGTTAGAAAGCTGCACAGCCAGCCAGCTATTGTGTCTGCTGTTCAAAAAAGCAAAGCTGAGCAAACAAAGATCACGTCTTTTCTGGAAAAGTGGCTGCTTTCTGCCGGGATAGTAAATGCTGACTGCACTAGCAGTGCTGGGCAGGCATGCTGGGAGACAGAGGGATGTCCTCTCCCATCTCAGGCCAGAGCAGGGAGCCCTGCTAGTAACCCCAGGGGGTCTCTGGGGAGCTGGGCGCAACCACAGGACTCAGGCAGTATATATAACTGCAGAAGGAGGTCTCTCTTCACCCCTCTGCTCCTACATCACATCTAGGTCAGGTCACTCAGGGCCTTGTCCTGCTGATTTTTAGAGATCACCAAGGATGGAGGTTTCCCTACCCCCATGGTCACTGTTCCCATGCTGGACCCACACACACTATGAAGATTTTTTTCCCCAATATCTAATAAGACTTTCTCTTGCTGCAACTTGTGTCCATCCGCCATTGCCTTTTGTCTGCTCACTCCAAAGTGGCCCTGGAGGTGCATTTAAATGCCCCACCAGCCACACTAAGGGCACCAGGTGGTGCCTCCACAGCCTCTGTGTACACAGCAATGCTGGCTGGAGCTGCCCACAGCCCAGGAAACCGATGAACCCCTTGAAAGCTTCAGCTGGTGGCTGTTGTCCCATTGCTTCACCTAAAACCAAGACAGTCAGAGCCAAGTGTGAATCCTCCAGGGCTCTTTACCTTGACACGTAGGGCAGAGCAGGTGTCACCAGTGCTGTGGTTTCACTGTGACAGTGCATCTGGCATTGTCATTTCTGACTGGCTGAGTAACGCCCTGCCACATCCTTTGCACTAAAAAAGCCATTTTTTTTCCAATGCCTGCAAAAATTTAGACAGAAAAAAGCAGTGAGCAGTGGTGCTTTTCAGCAGTGGAGCCACACAGTTGTAATTCTCCATATTTCTGCCAGGCTTAAAGAAACGTAAGCAAGAAAATCACTTCTCTCCTGTGCAGAGAAGGGTCCTCAGCAGCCTGAAGGCCAGGCTCAGAGCCTGGGCTTAAACAGGGCTCCTTTTCAGTAGCAAATGGGTGAGGAGTGGTCCAGATATGTCCAATGTAGACATTTAGGGACTCCTGGTGCCCTCAAATACTGTCATATACCCTTAATTTGTAGTGCCCAAGAGGTGCCAAGTGCTAGGTGCCACATGCTGCATGGGGCCACATGGCTCCTGAAAACCTCCAGGGCCCCGTAGAGCAATGTGGGGAGACCTGCAGCATCCTCTAGGACCCCCAGGGTTTTGTCCTCTTCCTGAAAGCCATCTGACAGCCTTGAGAGGTAGGAACTGTTCTACCTCCAGAGCAGGGGTAGAGGGGAGACAAGGAAAAACCATCAGGCATCACATCCTGTCTGCTGGGGCACTCTGAGCTGCCAGCAGGTAGAAGATACTGTGTCCTACAGGGAAACGCCTCAGGAATCTGGAGATTATCAGAAATGGAAACAGCTGTGAAGATGAAACAGGAAAGCCGGAGCACGCGTTCCCTATGCAAATCAATGCACACACATTAATGTGCATTAATGCGGCGTGCTGCAAACAATGGTACATAAACCACCGGGACATGTTGCTGCTGGTGGCCCAGGCTAGATGGATGATCCAGAGGTGATGAGGAGACCTGTGGTGACTGGGCTTTCCAGGAGAAGGGCAGGTGGCTCAGAGTTGACATGGGGTACTGATCAAGGAGGGGAGGAAGGACTTGTGATCTGAGCCTGGCTTTATCTGCACTTTGACCTCATGGAGAGCCAGGTAGCTACAGTGCTGGAAAGCAGCACCTCAAGTCCAGGGGATCCCCTTCTCCCCCTGCATCATTCTCAGAGGTCTCCAAATGCCCAAGGAAGGTGAGCAGCATTCACCTGGCGCCCACCGGCTCCCACGCGTGCAGGATGAACTTTGTCTGCCCCCTCCCTATATGGACACCTCTGAACTCAGCTGATGCTGGGAAAGCCTGGGCAGCTGCTGCCATACACTTGTGGCTGCAACATCTGCAGGCAAGGCCAGCTTGGCTTGCAGCCCCTGGGGTTAAAGATGGTCTTTCCCCAGTCCATCCAGGGTGGTGGATGATGCTGTCTACCAGCACACTCCGTCACTCTCGGAGGTGCTCCAGCCTTACACAGCCACCGTGTTACAATCACGATTCACCAAGTGACTCAAGCAGAGTGGGCTGTCTCACAACCAGCCCAGGTCTATTTATAAGCCCCTACTCAAATGCCAAAGGATCCTTTTATTAGTCAAAGCAATCTCCTGCAGACAAGACTTAGTGGTTTCTGAGGTAAAGCTCAAAGAAGAGGATCTCTCCAGCCTCTCAAGGAATAGCAGAGCTGGCTCTCTGCAAGCTGCAAGGCTTTTGAAGCTGAGCCCCATTCCAGCAGTGCTGTCCGCAGGTGAGAGCCCTGGGGCATTCAGTACACCCCAGGGCACCGAGTGGGTTAAGGCCAGTTATCCATCAACCAGGGAAGCAGTTGGGTTTAAAGCTACAAAGTAGGGGTGCAACGTGATGGAGGTGCCTGAGTTACATCCTAGAGCCAAAGGGAAGGAGAAGCTGGACTGCAAGGTGGAGGCAGGGCAGGTCTGCAGCTGAGGAGAGAAGTGGATGGCCCAGAGGAGTCCCACGGTGGGCCAAGGGCTCCTGGCAGCACTGGAGAGCCAGTAACACCAACCGGCCTGCCTGACAGAGATGGGCCGGGCAACTCGGACAGCAGGAGAACAGATCAAGAAAGGCGACATTTTTGCATCCAGCTCCTCCCCTGCCAACACCCCACAGCTTGGTTTCGGAAACACCGAGATGATTCAGTGTCAAGGGACTTCTGCATGCTTTGTGGGGGCAACGCCTCATGTTTGAGTTGGCTGAATTGGCAGGCTTGACCCTCTGCCACGTGGGAGCAAACTTGGAGACCTGCAGAAGAGAGATATGGGACTTACCCAAGCTGCACACACTTGTTTTGCTTGTGGTTTTGTGCCAAGTCTGCCAGAGATTCGTGCAAAGCACAAGTGGGACAAACGTTACTCTGGAGGAGAATGTGGGCTCCTTGCTTCTGCCATTGCTGGGACACCTCGCACTGATCACAGCCAAAGGCAGTGAGCGCTCGGGCAACAGACATGCATGGGATATAGTCCTCCAAGGACTGACCCCTCACTGATGCACTGAGAACAAACACTTCAGCCATGCTCAGGAACAACATGACTAACTGTTTATGTCGCTGCATGATAACATGAAATATTAGTAAAAACAAAGCAGCTCACCTGCTCATTGCCAGCTTTATGTGATGTCTGGTCATGCTGCTAGGACGGGGACCAGGACATTGATCAGGAGGGAAAATGGGGTGATTGCTGGGTCCAAGCCCACACTTCCAAAAGATCCTGCATCCTCTGGTTTGTGATTCCCCTGCACAAACTTGCCTGGTGACTGGGGAGAAGAAAAAAAACCAAACAAACAGTAGGCTGGATGCCAGATACCGTCCCCTCACCCAGAAGATAAATCATGTTTTTTAATTAATGTCTTTAAATTCACACCACCACCCTCCCCCCCCAACATGCCCATTGCTGTGACATCACTCCCCAGTGACGCCCAGGCCTAAATATGGCTGTAAACAGGAATCGTCCCCACGGGAGTCACACTGGCTATAAATACAGCAACAGGGGAGTGCTGAGCAGAGGACAGGCTGCAGTTTCCTGCCAGCTAAGGATGGTGAGACAACTCAGCTGGGTGCTGTTGGCATGTGGTTTCCACAGCGGGGAAATGGAGGCAGGAGCTGCTGGGGGGCTGGGGCTGCCAGCTGCTCTCCCC